CCTCCCGGGAGCAGCCCCGACGCGCGCGGGCCGCGACTGCCTGGGTTGTCATGGCAGCAGCTCCATCACTGACCGCCACTTTCTCCGTGCCGAGGCGCCCAGCAAGCCGAGCAGGCGCTCATCCCAGCAGGCTGGCAGGCGGGCTCCCGGCACGCGAGCCCCCCTTAACCCGCGCCGCCCCGGACGCACACACGTGGGCTGGGAGCGGGGTGGAGGTGAGGCGGCACCCCATCTGGCTCCACTCACCCCCTGACACCACTAACTGCAAAGAGAAGGCTGAGCCCCGCTTAGCATCTGGGGGGGGGTGTGGGGGGGGGAGAGGAGAGGGGGTTCGGAGGAAAGCAGCAAACTGAAAACTGATACTCTCACCTCCCTTCCCTGCCTCAGGAGCAGAAGTTGCCAAACCCGCCTTGGGGTAACTGAACTATGTTTCCCAAGCCTGGAGCTGCAAATGTACGCTTGTGCATGGTTCTGCTGCCTCCAGTCCTTGGGCAGAGCTCTCCAGATCCTTTGCACAAAAAAAAAAGAAGAAAGAAAGAAAGAAAGAAAGAAAGAAAAAAGAAAAGAAAAAAGGACGGTGCTTCCTCACGACCTACCTTAAAATCATCATGGCCCTCCACTCTCTTGCTCTCTCTACCTGGCAGATCTGAACTCCTTCATATGACATAATGTGCAGAGTTCCAGTCCTCCTTCATGCTTATTACCCAAGTTTGCTAATGTGAAAAAGCAAGACCCGGGGAAAACACATGAAATCCTAGAAGGTATTAGCACTGATTTTCATAAGGTCCAACTATGGCTTTATGATCAAGACATGACTCCTAGCCATCACTGAACTGGGAGGGGTCTTCCCATATGCTCTCACAAGCCACCCTATCCCGTTGGGTAGAAGACCAAGGGGTGGTGCATGGATTAATTTATTTCACTTCTTAACTCACTTGTGAGCTCAGGTTTTCCCTGAGCCGGTTATGACATTTATGCGTGTGTTTGTTTGTTCCATTTCCTGGCATAAAGCACCCCTGTTTTGAGTGGTTGTTATCCTTGCATCATCATTAAGTGGTTGCCATGTGCCTTTGCTTTACTGCAGGTTTTCTCAAATCCTTTTGTTACATTAGACTGGGCTCTGAACACTTGTTACCATGAAATTTAATTCAAAATATAAGCATATCATCTATTACCTCAGTTGCTGAAGGGTACAAAGCACACTTCCTGCTCTCAGTTACAAGGGACTGAGCACAAATAAATAGTACTTCAACCTGGCCCCCTATTGTAAATTGGTAGTCCACATACCATTTTAGGTCTAAGGGTTTTAATTTAGAACCTCATAATGGAGAAGAAAGAACACTTGTCACTAGTCATGCTATGTATGTTTTATATGTTTTAATAGAGTAAAGACATGTATCAGCTACTTTCCAGAAAGCAGATGTTAATAAAGGCAGGTGTAGGGCAAAGCATCCATCCCATTTATCTTGGGCTTCAGGATGAGCAAAGAATTGATACAAGAAGCAAGGCAGAGGCCTCGGAAAGCAGCCACATTACTTACTTGGGGATACCCACTGGTTTTCATGACATGCATGCTTCCTAAAGACTCAAGTGTAGACCTGGCTTTCCTGCATGCTCAGAAATCCTCCCAGCCCTGAGATGTTCTTGTCCATTATCAGCAGACCAGAAAGGCTTCCTTAATGATTTAACCTGTGTACAGCTGATGAGAATGTGCTTATGATTGCCTTCAGTTACAGAGTTTGCAGTTTGAATGCTGGGGGAGTCAGCGGCGGGTTGGGTTAAGCCACTGTGAAAGTCAGGCAGTAGCTGTCTCTTTGTGGTTCCTAAAGATGCTGGTCCCAGTGCTGCACAGGAGATGCAAAGGGGACAGTTGCTTAATACAAATCAATTCAGGACAAACTATTAAAGATGGGAAGAATTATCATAGAAGAACAGAAGGAAAGAGCCTTGGATTCCAGGTGGGTAAAGAAGAGCTGGGGCAAGGAGCTTCCCTGGTGGCACATGGGCTAAAGTACACAGCACTATCAAGCTACTGCCAGCCACTGCAGCGTGGGTTCATCCCAGGCCAGGGAGCTGACCCACATGGCTGGCAGACCTCTCCTAACCTACCAGCCTCTCCCCTCAGCAGTGTATTTCAGTTAATCTGTCTGTTCGGCTCCCCAACCTGTCTCTGATGAATCTTCTCACCATCCCCCACATACACACCTCTGACTTGCACTCCAGCTATTCACTGCAAAAATAAATAAAGAAAAGAATAGCTGAGACAAGAAAAAAGGGAGTTAATATAGTATAAAATAAGGCATTATCTATTCTCGATATTGTATAATAAATCCTGCTCTTGGGAAAGGACTAAAGCACGTATCTGTTTTCATCAAAGTCTACTCCCTCCAATTATAGGTCTCTGGAATTCTATGGAATAGGACCTGGGTCTATACTCTGGCTAAGGTTCTCCTCCAATTTCAATATTTGCCAGTGAATGGCTAAACTCAAGGGCTAATGAACTCGAGAATTAACTACAGATTCTGATCTTTGTGACAATCTACATATAGAGTGTTGTGGGAAAAGTTTATTCATCTAGAAGATATTGCAAGAAACCCCTGGTAGAACAAAATTGAAATATGAGAGAAAAAGGGATGAGGTTCACAAAATGAACAGAAACTTAAGGAATTCCTCTTGGTAGTTTTCTAGGAACTACTAGGTTGAGTGCCATGAAGAGAAGGCCCAGAAAAAAAACTCTTTTGATGTGAGACATCATCTATGAAGTTAATTATATAGGACAGATAAGAGTGACAATTAAGGGTTTTGGTTCTGAGGTTGACTCTTTAGATCCAAACTTTTCAGCTCTCCAACTGTGTGACTGTACCTAGTAATAGCTCTCTCAACGATTTCATAAGGCTGTGGGTATCTTGAAATGTACCCAAGATTTTGTTTAAAGATTTGTAAGATAACAGACATGACAATAACTACTTAATAATATGATGGGAATTAGAAGTCACCTAAAGGTCAAAAATGATTATTAACCAGGTTTTATTTCATCATGGAGGGGCTGCCATAGTGAGGGTGACTATTTGTAATTCTGGATCCAACTGAAAAGTCTGAATTTATCTAATGAAATTTGTATCCAGTTGTAAAAGCAATTTCAAGCTGTGTGTTATTCATAAATAAAGAAAATGTACAGCTTGTGTTTATCTGAGAGAAGATTGTACCCAGCTGTTCTGTGTGTGCATTAGGAAGAAACATAAAGTAAGAATCCCATATATAATGCACATTTATATGACAGAAATCCACCTACATCAGTAAGGACCCATGGGGTGGAGTGGCTGAGGAGACAATGAGTTACAGCCTAAAGGAGTTGGCTCTCTCTTGAGGTCCTTTGCACTTGGATGCACAGTAAACCAAAGATGCTTCCTGGTAGACAAGAGAATCAACTCAGCCTCCAGTTTTTAGGCTCAAGAAGGTTCCAAGAATCTGCAACCCATTGCAGAACACAATATTATGGAGGAGACATAAATATCCTGTGCAAGTCCAAAGCAATACTATGTAATAGTTGCTACATGATCAGCGCTAGAACCCAACAAGCCACTTCATTTTTCTCTGTCCCTTTATAGCTTGCACACTGATTCTTCTAGTCAATGCTCACATGACCCAGAACTCAGGTCATTTTTTTCTCACCATAGACCACACCACCCATTTTCTAATTAAGGCCTCATTATTTTGACCTGATATTGCAATTCAAATTCATGCCATGAATCCCAGCTCTGTCACTTTCTGTCATCTCGGGTATATTGCCTATCCTCTCTGGGATCTTGTTAATACGTAGGGCAGATAAGAGCTGTTTTGTAAGGTTGCTGTGAGTTTAGATAGAGGACTCATGTGGAGGTTCATGGCAGTTATCAGTGATGGTGAACCCTCAATTCCTCTTCTAGGTGAAAATGACTGAAATCAACCAATCAAAACAAAACAACAGCAGCGGAAAAAGAAAAAAAAAAAAAAACAAAACAAAAACAAACCCAAAGGACTTTTATTATAACAAAAGTGACAATACAAAGCACTGAAATAAACTTGTCAACATAAAAAGATCAGGCATACAAGATTTGCATTGAGAAAAGATATATGAGATATATCACCTACCAATACCCAGAGAAGCCAGTTTCTAGGCTCTCAATGCCCTTTACACCACTCTCTTTCAAACCGATTGTGTATGTGTGTGACCATGACTCTTTTGCTCTGGACTACAATCTGGTGCAGCAGCCAAACACCAGCAAACAGGGGTTATGTTCAGTGAAATAGGCCAGAAGGAAAAAGAAAAATATCAGATGGTTTCATTTAGAAGAGGAGTAGAGGGGAACCAAATAAGGGATCAGGAAAAATAATAATAAAATAATTAATTAATTAACAAGCAACCATAAATCAGAGACATTCTCAGGGGAGGAGGAG